CTGACTATTTAATGAATTATAGGTGTCACACCTAATGCTTTGTTTATCGCACAGAACACGACCTAAGTAGGGACTGGTTGAGTTTTTGTACTTGGTGGTGCGATCATATAGTTTTCTATATGGGCTTCTGGTTTTGCCTGATGAGATGCAAGGGGAGAGTTGTGAGTGAAGAGGGTGGTGTGAATTTCGTATTAGGTTACTACAGATTAAAGTCACCTTACTGAAAAGCAACTGAATCGATCTCAATGAAGTCAGTAAAACAGAACGATGTTTACCACAATTAGAAGAAATAGTATTGATCACAATCATCAATAAGTGAATTATTTTTTAAAAAACGCTTAAATTTTTTGTAGTTTTATTCCCCGAATACAAGTACAAACTTGTTTCTCACACCTCATATAATAAAATGTGACTTAAACGGATAAAAGTACAAAATTATTTTTTTTACTTATTGTTAGTGCCTGATTAATATTTATTTGTATATTTACATATTCTATAGTAATACTCATCCATGCAAAAATAGTCAATATAACAGAAAAGTTCAGGATTTAATATATGCCACTACTACTACTACTGCCGTGCAATAATCTACGCTATCCAGATGATAACATATTGTTTATTATCCAATCAGCTCTCAGTGTACACAAAGGTCACTATGACCTACTTGACCAATCAGAATACTGCATATTCCTGGGTCATTCCTTTTTTTGTATTTAGGCGGCAATTTAAATGAAAAGGAAATGTTAATGGTAATATAGTGCATATGGTTGATGTTATTTTTGGCACACACACACACACAAGCCTGAAAGTATTCCCAGCCACATAGGAGAGGATTTTGTCAAAACAAACTATAGAGATGGAAAAACACCAAGGATATGCAAAATTATTTGTTCATGTCTATATAAGTGTAACTTATATTACGTCAATTGTTGTAGAAATAAAGTTAACGGAGTTGAAGCTTTGTTTAAAGTAAATGGAAGTATGAATAGAAGGTTTATCGGCACGGAACAGACAAATGATGTTTAAATACGGTTGAATTCAAGTTTAGCAATGCAATTAAGGGTGTAACGTCTAGTGTATCTAGTGTGACGTCATCTGTGGCATTTGCAAAAATGTCCACAATTTTTGTCAGACCAAATTTTAAATATTTGTCTGATTTAGTTGTTGACTTTCCTACTGAGTGTCATAGAAAAGATAAGAATGAAGTTCAGTACCAAATTCCTATACGTTAGAGAAAAATTGGCGGCAGATATTCTAAAGAGGAGAAACTCTAATTCCATTGTGGATAAAATTTATTTTGATAAAGTCTCAAAGTGTTATACAGTAATATTTACTGATGACGTTTCGAGCACACTTTACTGTATAACACCGAATAACACTGTGAGACTTTATCAAAATAAATTTAACCCACAATGGAATTATACTCTACCACAGTGAACAGGTTCTATTCTTATATCAAGGAGAAACTCTGGTTGCGTAAGGAAGACTTTTCCCTGAAGCAAAACTATGAGTAATATTCTTTAGCCGCCCACTACTCTTGAGTAGCTTGAAGGAGAAACTTTCACATAGCACTCCACTCCAATGTGCATGTACCAACTTATCTGATCCTATTGAGCTTGGTCCATATGTCTTCTACGTGCGTCTTTTCAAAAAGTGTTAGAGATGCCTATCCAGTATGGCTGCGAAGAGATAGCACTGGTTCAATCGAAGGTGGTATAACTGAACCTAACGCTTCAATTAACAGATCTTTCAGAGTCAAAGTGAGCAGAAACCCATCAAGAAACAGTGTTTTTTTCGAATTTATTGTACTTCAGAAGACCTCAATATATGTACTGAGAGGCTGGAAATATGTGTTCAAAAAGGACTAGTTCAACCTATACATTTACCATGGATCTAGTTCTTAATTGTCGTTTTTTTCATTCCCATCATGGATTGAAATCAGTTAGAGGACCACTGAAAACCAATGAGTACTGGACATCTGTTTCATCCTAGTTCGGGAAACATTGGCAGTACGTACACACTGAGTTTCGAACCCAAGATCTTCCGGTTACAAGGTAAGCTCGTAACTCCATCCTTACCCTAGACTGAGTGGACTAATTCTTGAAAATTAATCTGATGCTTGCTAGAGACTGTCTACAGGAAGAAGATACCTGCAGTTCTAATGAGAAGTGGTGACCAGTGGAGTCTATCCAGCCGGGAGTGAGGATAGAGTTCCTGCTGACAACATTGGTTGGTAGTCGCGCTAAGATCACGAATTGGTAGAAGTTGGAATTCATGGGTTGGCCATTGACTCAAGTCCCAGTGGTTGATTAGTATATGAGCTAGCTTGCCTTGTAACCGGAAGGTCATGGGTTCGAAACTCAGTGGGTGCGTACTACCAATGTTTCTCTGGTTTTCAATGGTTCTCTAACTGATATCAGTCCGTGATCTCACCGGAAACAAATACAATCCCTACAAACTAATTCTTGATAGTTGTTACAATGTTTACTTATGTACATAAATTGACAGTGTACACCTATTTTAAGATGAAATCTCCGAAAAGATATCTGTTTGATGAACTTTGTGTTCTTTTCTATGTAATCTTCTGAAGGGTATTTTTCACAATTTAGAAACCCTTCACACCTTCAAACGAATTCATGTCGATGAATCGGTCGTGCATTTAGCAAGTTTCAGGATAGGTGCAATATATAAAGTAATGGACAGCTGTTTTAAGATTTTTCACTAGGATACATTCACTAGCCTAGTTAACCGATATGAACAGTACTCTGGTTACACTTCAACAAATTACACTAATTCACAACAGTTGAGCAATGTAACACCATCTTTTTTCATTCCTTTGCTTCCTGAATGGAACTTGGGGCATCAAACTAGATCATTGAAGTTTCAATAGCCCAACTTTTCTGTCTTAACTGTACTTACTGCAGGCTAGTAAGTTAGGCTTGGGAGTGCATCAATCGGCAATCGAATCCAGGGACACATGGGTGGTCGGCGAGAATTCTACCACTGAACAATCGATGCCACATCAACTCCATACTGATATTACATGAACAAGTATGATATTATGAAAAACGTTTCGGTTTTAGTAATGTTTAATTAAATAGTAATGTTTCCTTACAATAAGGACATACACAATCACAACACAGACGTCTCACAGTAAGCAATTCGGATATTTGGTAGGATAATGTGAGTTTCTGACTAAAGCTATCATGAGATTGAACGTTAGTTGTCGATTTTCAAATGAAATCTCCAGTAAACAGTCAAAGTTTAGAAGTGGCCTTTTAAAAATGGAATTTACATGATGCAAGTGTGATATAATAACATAAATGCAAAAGCGATATAAAGAAAAACAATAAAATAAAAAAACAGCAATATTTAGTTGCTGGAAGTTAAAAAGAGAATCTGTATGTGGAGTTTAAAAAAAGCAATTATTATTATTGTTTCCTTTAATTCAGCTGCACGTCTCCATTGCTTTCGGTTCTCTGTCAACGTTTTCACCTGGCTCCACGTCTGCCCACACGCCTTCATCTCCTATTCGCATGACCTCCTCCATGTCACCCTCGCACTGACTACCAGCTGACTCGCCGCTTCCCATTCGGGTTCCACTCTAGTGATGGTCTGTCGTGTGATGTCACTTGATGGTTTCCTCAGAGTATGGCCAATCCACCTCTATTTCTTCCTACATTTTGTTGCACAAACGGTTCCTGCTGTTTAGTTGGTTTATTGCCAGAGATCCCTGTTGCTGATCTTTTCTGGCCGGCCATCTGATCTTGAGTAGTAAGGAGAGAAGACAGCTATTGATGAAGGTCTGTAGCTTGTTCAAAGTGGCCTTCGTGACGGGCCAAGTCTCTGATCCGTATAGTAGCACTGACTTCACATTGGAGTTGAGAATTCGGATCTTATTTTTTGTGCTGAATGTTACCATATTCTACATAAATGAATATCTTACTGCGACAAACTACAAGAAGTTAGGAATGATTGAAGTCTACCCTGACTATTGAATTGGATAGTCCTAAGCTTTATTTTTGACACACATAATGAGTTTGTGTTGCTGAAGTATTTCATCGACAAGGAAGAAACGACTGTCCCTTGACTGCCACCAGTTCTGTAACAAATAGCTATGTTTTATAAAGTTCACTTCATTTTTCATTAAAAAAAACCCAGTTTAAGCGACAGTGTTCGTCGGTGATGCAATGATAGAACATTTGTTAGCCACGCGGAAGGACCTAGTTCGATTCCTGGCCTGTATACTATAAAAGCACCTAGTTAACTACCCATTAGTAAACCCTGATGGGAGGGAGGGCTGATTGTGAACAAGGATTTCATTAACTCCGTCGAGGAAAGCAACATCGTAATCGCTGAAGCTCCAAAGCTAAATAGTGTAATGTGTCTAGTCCTATCTTCGGTGCAGACCGAATTCTATCAGTCATGTTTGCAATGTGGCCACCATGCTAGGTGGCTCGCCATTACGGTGCACTGTGAATTGTTGGTATTAGATGGTTGGAGGCAATCGGAAGGAAGCCTTGGACCTAGGTTTCGTGCTAGCTGACACTCATCAGCAAGGCGTACAACCTGCAACCTTGAAGGAACTGATATCCCTTCTGAGATTCGAACCCATGTCACTCAGTGCTGCAGTCAGAGACGTTATCACTGAGCTATTCAGGCTCGCGACTGACCTGTAGGACTGTATTGGATATTTTTGATTGCAGCAGCACTGCAGCACTGGGTGACGCTGGTTCGAATCCCAGAAGGGACATCAGTTCCTTCAAGGTTGTAGATACGCCTTGCTGATGAGTGCCAACTAGCACGAAACCTAGGTCCAAGGCTTCCTGTGGCCGATTGCCTCCAACCATCTAATACTTCAAAGCTAAAGGCTAGAAATCTTTTGTCCCAGTCGAAAGGCTAGGAAAGAATGATAATGATTATTATTATTATTGTCACAAGTTAAAGAAACTGGTCACAGAGTAGTACTTGTAGTGGTGAATTTTCTTCACATCACTTACCTTATAAACAGCATAGCCAATGGTCAGTAAATCGCTACCTTCACGTCTCAGCTTTCTTCTATCCTTTTGCATTAAACCAACAATTAATGTGCCTTTATTTTCATCATCATTTTCATCTGGATCTTCAACAGATACCACATACTGGGGATTTGTCCAAAATGTATCTAAAATTGATTATTTATTGTTGAAAATATATATAATAGATGAACAAGGGAATGACAAAACAATTAGTACAATGCACACGTTTCCCTGTTTTTCACAGTTAAACTGAATTGACGTCAGTTTGTGAACCATTATACAGCTAAACGGCATCCAACAGTGGTGTCGTCTTAGTTTGACATTCTTCAGGATTGCATAACAAAGAAACAAATCTAGGATTCGAACCCGGAACATTAAGTTAACGAAAGTAAACTGTAGACACCCAAAATGGGCTAACACACAAATGAGCTTAGAAAGGTAAAGTCAGAGCACTATTCATGAAGTAAATTGCTGAATGAAGTGTAATGCTATTAACGAGGCTAGGGAAGCATTATGGTTAGTTTAAGGCTAGGGATGGTTTAGAGTCAGGTTAACCTAATTAGGGATATATTAGAGTTGGTTAGGTATAGATAAGGATAAGTGTTGTGTTGAAGTTATGGGCTGAAAACTGATTTTTAGCGCACCTCCTTGTCCCAGGGTCACTGGTATGTATGCGTCTCTTGGGTATCTCAAAGTGAACTCCGTCCTTCGGGTTATGAAGTCAGCCTCGTTATGGGACCTCCAGAATAAGAAATGGCCTCACTTTTAAAGGTGAATTTTTCGTGAATTCATTTATTCTTTACGTCTAATAACAAATTACATCACACAAGGCTATGGCGCAATTAAGCATAATAATAATAATAATAGTATATTCTCATTTTTTACATGAGGGACGCCAGTTTACAGGCATCATCTATATGATAAATTACATATACGATCAGTAAGCATATTTAATAAAAGTAATTTAATAAGATACATTTTTTCCTACCTGTGTAGGACACACCAGTTGTACAGGCATGGATAAGTATTATTTAAATTACATAAATTTGGTTCATGGTAAAATTATAAGGTTGCAGTCATTTTGTCTATGGGAACAATATGATAACTAGTCATTCAATGGAACACATCAAGAAATATAGAAATATTGTCTTCGCATTAACAAAAAAAACCCAAGTATGTTTTGGATGGATTACAAATACTTGGGAAAAAAATAAAGCGTGAAGTAATTCCTCCATATAACTTTGGTGTGTACGGCATCGAGTCTTATTCTTGATTTATATCCAAATTTGATAATAATTTAAAATAAGTAATACACTTGTATACTTTTGTCAGCATTTTCTTCGTAACATCACAAGTGAATAGTACTCAAGGTAGACTAATAATAATGACAGTTTATATTTTCTTATAAACGGGTGTTTTCAAGAAATGCAAGCTATTTTTGCAAACAAGATCAGTTATGTTGTAAGTTACAACCGTGAAGTATTATAAATCAATACTTTTTTATTGGTATAAAGGTATATTTCACAACTGTAATCCAGGTTGTGTCGTTGGTGAAGGCAATGCGCAATAATGACTGCAATCCATTAATAATAACTGATGACATAAAACCATTTGACATCATTTCAGAGTGCATCACAATACCGAGCCACCTAACCTATTGACCACCTCACAAAGTTGATTGATAGAATTTATTCAGCACCAAAATGAAGGACTAGGCGTATGACATTGGTTACTCTCCCACTGACCAATAAATGTATCCGCTTCAGTCCTACAGGAGGTCAGTCACAAGTTCAACTAGCTCAGTGGCAATGTCCATGGCTGTAGCACTGTGTGGTGCGGGTTTGAATCCTACGGGGACATAAATGTATACTTATAAGATGTAATTTATGTCAAATAAACTCGTCCTTACCCCCACAAATACAGTCTATATCCACTGATACCTTCACAGCAAAACCTAATGAAGCAGAATGTTCATCTTCAGTAGTCCTTAGAGGCACCTCAATGTGATTAGTGTCTCTGTAACTATACTTTAGTTCAATCAATCAAATTAGGATAATTTTCAACTGTTGATTTACGGGAATTTGATTGGTTACAGGAATTCATCATGAGCTGACATCGGTTAGAGAACCATTGAAATACCAGCAGTGAGTACGGGACAGCTATTTCTTCAGCCTAGTTTGAGATTATTCAGTGGGTTATCGAACCCAGGACCTTCCTGTTACAAGGCAAGCTAGCTCGTAGACCATTAGGCTACCGGAACCAAAATCTAATGGCCAATCCATGAATTCCACCTTCTGCTAATTCATGATATAGCGCAACCATTAACCAATGTCATCAGTGGCGAGTATTTGTCTTCACACCTCCTAACCTGCTATACCCCACTGGTCCCGACTTTGTATGAATTGATTAAGTGAATTCAATTCAAGTCATCACACACAGTCAACATGAATCTGTATTTACTTTCACCCATGTCATCAGAAACCAAATAACTTTTTAAAGATAAAACAGAATAAAATTCTTTTAGGTACTTTACCAAGAAAATTACGGCATCCACCAGCTGTAACACGACGTTGCCAACAACCCTCTTCAATACACATTTCCCAAACACGATTTTTCGCCTTAGCAGCATCTCCCATTGATTGTGGTCCAAGATGACAAATTTCAAGTTTTTCAAAATTTGATGTAAAATCTTGATAAGACATCCTTTGAAAAAAATGAGAAGAGAAAAGAAAGGGAAGTGAATGAAAACGAAATTTTTTTCTTAGTTGAGATAATATGAAATGAGCTGACGTAAAAAGTAGTGTAACGTTGTTGCTAAATATCGAATGTACCGCAGGCAGAAGGGCAATAATTTTGATTGGATACTAACTAGGTCTGTGTCTAGTCAATATATGTGTAAAACTTGGGCACTGTGGTAGTAAGTAATTCCATATTAGTTTGTTTATTAGATGTATCACACAGTGAAGCAATATTATTATTTACTGGATGACGTTTCGAACAAAATTTATTGTTCATAATCATATCAATTGTAATCACACGACTTCGAAACTTGAGTTTTATAGTTTTCTTTGTTCTCTCCTATTTGTCGTATGGGTAGTAGAATTTTCCAGATATCGGGGACAGGTGATGAATCATTCCTATTACATGTATTTGTAGTTGATTCGATAAACAAAGCTTCTGTTATCAATCTCTCCCTATACCCTGTGACATTAGATTTTAAAACTGTCATCCTATCCCATCCTATTGTATGGTTGTGTGTGACTGCATGTAGTGAGTGGTATAGCTGAACTATTCTCTAGATTTCTTATCTTATTCGGGTCAACCAATCTAGATTTTGCTAGGTTTTTATGTTCAGCTAGTCTGACTGCCCCTGTTCTACTAGTTTGACCTATGTATTTGACCTGACAATCATTCCAGCAGGGTATTAGATAAACTAAATTGTTTTGTTTTAAAGGCTCCACAGGCAGGATCCTTTAACCGACAAAGCTTGTTTCTAATTGAGTTTGGGGGTTTGAATGCCAGCCCCTTTTATTCCTGCCTTGTTAAGAATTCTGCGTAAGGCTTCCGAGGTTCCTTCCTTGTATGGAATTACTACTGATGATTTAGATTCCTTATTATTGGTGTCGTCATTAATATTACTATTATTATCACTATTATTATTATCATTATTATTGTTATTATCACTATCGCTACTATCATTATTTATTTTATTTTTACATTTCCTTACATATTTCCTGACTAATTTATCTGGGTAATTATTAAGTTTCAAGGCTTCTTTTATGTGTATCAGTTCCTGTTTTAGATTTTCTTTGGTACTACTTAGTTTTTGTGCTCTATCATTTAAACATTTCACCAATCCTATTTCCACTGACATAGGATGGGATGATCGGAAGTCCAAATATCTGTTTGAGTGTGTGGGTTTCCTGTAAACACTAGTGTTTAACTTCCCATCTTCTTTCCTCTTTACGTTGCAATCTAACATTGGGAGCTCCCCTTCCTGATTTTTCAATTCATAAGTGAATTGAATTGCTTCAACCTTTGAGTTGATATGTTCGAAAAACTTATCTATATCTTGTGTTTTAAGTACAGTGAATTCACATTCACTGTACTGTTTACTTCAGACTGAATTCTACCACTCAAATTTTCAGTGTGGCCACCATGCTAGACACATGACACTAGTTAGTTTCCAATCAAAGTATCTAATATAGTCTAACATGAGGCCATTCGCCAGCCCGGATAGCTCAGTGGTAATGTCTCTGACTGTAGGTAGCAGTGGATGATACGGCTTTGAATCTCAGGACGGACATGGGTTCCCTCAAGGAGCTAATCTGAATGTTTATTCTATCAGCTAACCATTCAACATTTGTCATTCATCCTAATAGTATCAGTCGTGTTTGAAAAAAGAATACCCTTCGAATTGTTAATATTAGATGATTGGAGGCATTCAGAAGGAGGCTTTGGACCTAGGTTTCGTGCTACTTAGCACTGACCAGTCAACAAAGCATTTCCATAGCCTTGATGGAACCCATCGCCCTCCTGAGATTTGAACCCACGTTACCCATTGTGCTGCAGTTACAGACTTTACCACTGAGCCATTCAGTCCCAAGGTTGACCTCCTAGCTAACTAGCTAACTAGTATTTACCCAAAGTATCTAATACAGTCCTACAGGAGGTCAATTGTGAGCCCAGGGAGCTAACAAGTAACGTCTCTGACTGCAGGTAGCAGTGGGTGACGTGAGTCCGCATCTCGGGTGGGATATGAGTTCCTTCAAGATTGTGGATACGCCTTGTTGACTGGTGAGTACCAACTAGCACGAAAGCCAAGTCAGGCAAGGCTTCGTTCCGATTGCCTTTAACCATCCAATGTCAACAGAAGCTCAGTAAATTGGCTCTGATAGATTTGTGTGATTAGTGATATGGTTCCTTTCAAGCTAAAACGGGTCAAAGTTTAAGTTCATTTTCCCTGTATGATGAAATGCAACTGATTTTGACAGGCTGATCAAGAACACAGTGATGACTGACATATAAACTCACTGGTCAAGACAAGCCCTTTAAAAAAGAGATATGGTTACTTTAAATTGGTAATAAATTGAGACACAAAAGAGATTGTTTTTTAAGGGTTTGTTTGCGAGGATTCGGTTGACTTCAATATTGGTCATGAACCTAATTCAGTTAGAGAACCACTGGAAACCAACAGTAGGGGAGAGTTATTCCGTCCTTGTTTGGGAATCTTCAGTATTATGCAACCGTGACTCCACAAGGCATCGTGTGTTTGTGTCCACACACACACACATCGTGGTCGGATCTGATGATCACAGATTCTCACTAGAACTTCAAACAACTTCATCCTGAAGTCAGAAGTCAGAACTGATAGGTCACTATATTTCGTTCTGGATTTGATTTGTGGTGGGGTCATGGGTACGTGCTGATGAAGATCCCCAGTACCTCCTGGTATTCAATGGTTTTCTAAGTGAAGTCACTTCGTAATCAATCCTGAAAAAAGAGTTCACTAGCTGACCCATGCTGAAGACATTTAAACACCTCTAACACAAGATACCATGTGACGAAAAAATGTACTTTGACATATCTTACAAATTCGTTGATAAAAGCAGTTAGGATGAAACGACGCCAACGGTTTTTCCTTCATAATAGCTGAAACCATAATCCTCGGTGACAGAAATGATAGTAAGATCTTGCCAAAGCAGGATTATGCTTATCACCTGGTAAGACATTAGTTAAATGAGCTCAGTACCATTCCTTTGAACCCTTATGACTTTTAGCTGATAAATATCAGATTCCAAACCCTCTCCACTTCATTCGACCTAAGACGTCACACATGTGTTATTCATAGCCCAGTCAGTATATAAGAAATCTGCTATGGGCAACTGAGCTGCGGTTGCAATTCAAGCTTTCATTTCAACCAAAAATTTTGAATCACTAATAAATGTTAACTTCCGGACGTTTCATGACTTATTCAAAGAGGACTTCATGGCTCTGAGTCCTTTATAGAACTGCTAGGAACAACTGAAGACTGCTGCAGCCATTTTGTTATTGCTTAAAGATTAACTTTCCTATCTTATTTTGATATCAGCCTAAATCTTTCGAATTCCTTATTTTCATGCTTCTTCTTCTTCTCCATTGGTCTCCCCACTGACGCACACAGTGTATATACTACTTATATCTACTTACAAGTAGCACAAACTACTGATACTATATTGTAATCATTTCTTCAAATATACATAGAATTAAACAGCTTTAAATAGATCTACTGTTTTTCACTTTATGAATGAGTATAATATTTGCAACACAAAAATAACTGTCTAACGAATCTTTAATCCCATAGAACGGATTATAATATCAAAGCCGACAAGCATCGGAAAGACAAGACTAGAATTCACTATTCTGAAATCAGTGGGAGCGTCGGTGGCATAGCGGTTAGGACGCTCGCCGACCATGCATATGGTCCGGGGTTCGATCCCCGGCCACCGGACGCACTCCTTTACCTTGCTAAGCCAGAAATAATGCTGGTGAAGAGGAAAGGTTGGCCATGAGGCTAGCAACCCCATCCTGTAAAATAAACACTGCTACAGAAACTTCAAGCCACTAGCTTGAAGCCCTATGATGTTCCACTGGGGAACGTGAAGGAAAACAAAATTTGCTGCACTCAGGAATAAAAGCAAGATCCGGATCCCCTTCAGTAATGTACATCTCAGAAAGGCATTTTCAACAACCCGATTGCCAGCTTTCATCAAAAGATGCTGCTTTCGCTGGATTCTAAAGACCAGTGGACCAGTAACGAAGGAGATAAGAAACCAGGAATTTCGGATAGTACCGAATTATCGAAGAACCTACTATCCAATGAAATATGAAGAAGGTGACTGTCGAGTAACATCACCCATCAAGCTGTCGAGTGAAACTTAATTGGGAAAATACGACTTGGAAGTGAGGAGTAGGAAATGAAAGCTTATGTGAAATCTTTAAGCCAGCCGAAAAAATAGGTGAAAGACTGCAGAAAGCACAGAGAAATGCAGATGTACTGTCGAAGTCATTCGCTTCAATCGGAATAATAACAATAATACTAAGACGGTATTTATCAACCGAGTTAGTTTAAGTCCCATAGGAGGGTGTAGACTTCCTGACTGGTGGGGGTCCTCGGGACGGTAAACACCACTGGCTGGAGACAATTGGTGACATGGCTCAAAATCGTTCTCAATGACAGCACAGATGCATCCACTCCTTGTGACTTATAATATCCAACAAAACTATATGGTTCTTCGACGTTACTATTCTTTTTGTCTCATATCTCTGTTAACTGTCTCTTTTGTGCATTTCTTTTTACTTTCTTCTCTTGTTTTGTCTGCTACATGGAGTGTGTCGATTCGAACTACTGCACATCGGTCAGTCAGATCAAGTAACTGGTGTTAATTTAAGCCTCTAGTAAGACAACAGTTTTCTCAAAATAAAATTTTGAACACACCCGCTTTATCCATCACATTATTATCACAAACTAAGCATAATACGATTCACACACACTGAACATCTCGAGTCAACTAAACCAAGACAATCGATACATGCACCAACTGGAAATCCATCCATCTCCGCTCGTATAAGTAACTAAGACATTTTTTTTGTAATTGACGTCTTCTGCCTTCAGATTAGAAAAATATTTCTATTCATATTAAACAAACATATGTGTTATTTCA